AGTGCGATAGCACTGAATGCTGAAAATTGGCCTGGACAGGAAGGGGGTAAAAGCGTCAGGACTTGAAGTGGTTAAAGGCATAAATACTGTACAGGGACATGATTAAAAAAAAAATTGTAAATGCATTGAAAACCAATTAATCCGTAAACGGAGGCATTATTTTCAATGGATTTTTCATTTGTAAACCGAAAATTACGTTAACCGAGGCGTTCGTAAACCGAGGTACGCCTGTATTCCCTAACAAAGGATGTAAACTCACATTGTGTGAATCAGCTGCCTTTGCAAACCAATTTAATACCTTGTGAAGGTAGATCTGTCCTCATCATTGTGATGTACATAGCCTGCATTGAATGGACTCCTACATTGCATGACCTTTATCCCAATACACCACCTAAAACAATATTAGATGTGAGTAGAAAACACGGGATAATACACCTGGAATACATTTGGGAAACTTTTCCTATACATTTTCCAGTTTGCAGGAACATTTCTGAAATCAGAACACAGAATTGCTTCAAAAAGGTGGCATTCAGCTGAGGAAAGAGGAAGTAGCCTTTAACTCATGTTCTATTCTTTAATAACCATACCGGTGCTGCGACTCAGGAAAGGGGATGTCTGTGTATTGCCAAATAATTCTTGAGAAAGGTCTGCATACCCTGAGCAAAACATCTGCATAGATATGAAGGAAAAAAAGCAGAAGGGTGGTAAACACCGAGACTTCCTGGAAAGACTCAAATTAACCAGATTAATAAAAATTGTAAACACAAAGTGTTTAAAAAAAAAAGTACTAAATTGGAAACACAAAAAGTGTTTACAATTTAGTACTTTTTTTTTTCTTTAAAACACTTTTTGTGTTTACAATTTAGTACTTTTTTTTTTCTTTAAAACACTTTTTGTGTTTACAATTTAGTACTTTTTTTTTTCTTTAAAACACTTTTTGTGTTTACAATTTAGTACTTTTTTTTCAAACACAAAAAGTGTTTAAATAAAAAAAAAAGTACTAAATTGTAAACACTTTTTGCGTTTACAACTTAGTACTTTTTTTTTTTTAACACAAAAAGTGTTTACAATTTAGTACTTTTTTTTTTTTTAAACACTTTTTGTGTTTACAAATTTAGTACTTTTTTTTTTACAAAACACAAAGAGTTTTTAAAAAAGTACTAAATTGGAAACACAAAAAGTGTTTACAATTTAGTACTTTTTTTTTTTTCTTTAAAACACTTTTTGTGTTTACAATTTAGTACTTTTTTTTTTAAACACTTTTTGTGTTTAAAAAAAAAGTACTAAATTGTAAACACAAAACGTTTTTTTTTTTTTTTAAAAAAAAAGTACTAAATTGTAAACACAAAAAGTGTTTAAAAAAAAAAAAAAGTACTTAATTGTAAACACTTTTTGTGTTTTTGTATTTAGCACAATTTAGTACTTTTTTTTTTAGCACAAAAACTTCTTGTGTTTTAAAATTTAGTGCTTTTTTTTTTTAAACACAAAAAGTGTTTAAATTAAAAAAAAAGTACTAAATTGTAAACACTTTTTGTGTTTACAATTTAGTACTTTTTTTTTAAAAAAACACAAAAAGTGTTTAAAATTTAGTACTTTTTTTTTAAACACAAAAAGTATTTAAAAAAAAAAAGTACGAAATTGTAAACACAAAAAGTGTTTTAAAAAAAAAAAAAAAAAAAAGTACTTTGCTTTTGACAGGTAATGCTCCTACTTTCGGGTCAGATTGCCAAGGTGATTTGAGCTGCAAGTTCACCCCCTAACCCCCTGCAGCCTTCTGGGACACTTCACAGAAGACTGCAGCCCATTCACAAAGCATTTTGCGCATGCGCAGTAGGAAAGTGGCTGTAAATCCACAAAGCTTCACTTCCGGTTTCTCTTACTGAAGATGCCAGCGTTAGAACCTGAAGCCGATTAAAGAATCGGCTCGGGGTGAAGACATTGCTGGATCCCTGGACAGGTAAGTGCCCTTATATTAAAAGTCAGCAGCTGCAGTGTTTGTATCTGCTTTAAACATTCCCCAGTAATCTATTTGTTAAAATTCTTACTCCAGCACTTGCAATTTACAACTTTCAATGTGTCTGGCTCCTGCTCTATCAGTGTAGCTTCCCTGAAAGTCTGGTCTTCACAGGAAATGGTTAACAGCGGACAACGCAGTCTCCAGCAGTCTAATAGTTTGGGGGAGGAGCAGGGGAGGACCTTGCCATCTTTGGCTGTGGGGCTGTGTGTTTCTATTGATGCACAGAGTGTAGGGAGGCACAACTCAAGTCCCTGCTTGCAAGGGTGGCTCCTTAGGATGCTGCAAGAGAAAGGAGCCACCCTGAAACAGAAAACCCAGAGCAGTGATCATGACACCAGCTTAAACTTTAATCTATGCAGGGGTTAAAAGATAAAGAAGCTTCATATTCAGCAAATGATTCAGCTGCTGAAAGTGCTTAAAAAAACCAGAGTGTTTAATATCACTTGAAGTCCGTAACAGTAAACACAGATATATAGACAAATCTGAACCAATCGTTATCCAAATTGGCTGTAAATTGGGAGAAATTAGAGTTTATTTAAGGTCAAAACTTTTTAGTAAGGGTGATTAAAGGGTGGGTGGTAAAAACCCCTGTCCTTTTTTTTTTTTTTTCTGTCCGTGTCTCATTGTGGGGAGATTTTTTTTCTCTTCCTTTTTAGCGATACAACAGCAAAGACGTTATCTTTCTATTAAAGTGACAGCTCACAATTTGGAATTTTCCCTTTCTTTAAAACGGAGCTTAACTGTATCTGAGCACCACAAACTGAAAACGATATTTAATCCGTTTTTTAACGCCTCCCGCCTGCCATATAAGGTAATGATGGGCGCAAGGTGGTTCTCTCGTTCTGGGGGGACGTCATATGACGTCTTCCCAATCTAACCGCGCATGCGCAGCTCTGGTGGCACGTAGCACAGCGATCGGTGGTGCGCTGTGTCCCTCGGATCCCAGCGCATCAACGGAAAGAGCAGAAGATGTCGGCTCGGTCATGTGATCAGCTGTGTCAAATCACAGCTGACCGCGTGTAAATAAGGAAATGCCGGTTATCGGAATTTCTTTCCTCTCGAGCTGTCACACTGACAGAGGAGAGGAGAGAGATGGTAATCGGCATTCCTCAGAGGGGACATGTACACTGATCATCAGGGCACTGATGATCAGTGTTCCATGATGTCCATCAGTATCAGTGTAGCCCCAGCAGTGCCACCTGTCAGTGTCCATCAGTGCCAGCTGTCAGTGCCCATCACTGCCACATCAATGCCACATATCAGTGCCTACCAGTTCACATCAATGCCACATATCAGTGTCCATCTGAGCTGCCTTTCAGTCCCGCCTATCAGTGCTTTTTATCAGTGCCGCCTAACAGTGCCAATTAACAGTGCTAGTCAGTGCCCATCAGTGATGCCTGTCAATGCCCATCAGTGCCACCTACCAGTGCCTCCTCATCAGTGCCACCTATCAGTGCCCATCAGTGCAGCCTATCAGTGCCCATCACTGCAGCCTCATTAGCGCACATCAGCGAAGGAGAAAAATCACTTATTTACAAAATTTTATAACAAAAACTAAGGAAAACATTTTTATTTTTCAAAAGTTTCAGTTGTTTTTGGCTTGTTTAGCAAAAAATAAAAATCCCAGAGGTGATTAAATACCACCAAAAGAAAGCTCTATCTGTCTCAAACAAATTATAAAAATTTCATATGGGTACAGTGTTGCATGACCGCGCAATTATCAAAGTGCGACAGCGCTGAAAGCTGAAAATTGGCCTGGGCAGGAATGGGGTATAAGTGCCCTGTAGGCGAGGGGTTAATATTCAATACAAACTCACCCATCTATCTATGTCTCCATGCTTTATTTTGTTGAGAAATCAATTTGAACCCCCCCACCAGAATTTCTAGCTGCAGTCATCTTGAGTAAGGGCAGATGATTCGTGTAGCATTTACTTCCTTTAATATATCTGCCCTTAGCTCAAGCATGCAGACAGCAGGGTTATTAGCAGAGAAAGCTCCTCCTCCAGAAGACCAGATGACAGAAAAAACAATTCCATGAAGACTCCTGAGATGTATATTATTTTGGCCTAGGCCAGAAACCAGGGAGGAACTAAAGAAATGTTAAAAAAATAAATAAATAGAAAATAAAACAAGTAAATATAATATACCGTCCTATCTATTTATTAATAGATTGCAAAGGATTAAAAATAGTTAATGTTGACTGAGAGAGTTTAGTTCCGCTTGAAGACTTCTGGGATGTATGGCATCATTTTAGCCTAGGGCAGAAACCAGAAATCAACAAAAGAAAAGTTTAAAACACGTAAATGTAAGATACTTTCCTATTTACTGATTGATTACTAAGGCTTAAAAATAGTTAATGTTGATTAGTTGAGTTTAGTTGCGCTTTAAATCTCCGTGATAATGGTTACCAGGAATGGTCATCGCAGTGGGGGCACATAATGCAAGAAAAAATGAGGTTCTTAATCTTCACCACTATATTTTAAAAGGAAATATTGCTTTAGATACACTTTAAATTAATGGACCCTGCACTATATGATTTGTTCCTCATGCTTTTACTCAGGAACATGTGCCATACTGGTAACACAGCTAATTTTCCCTTCTAGGAGAAAGAGGTTTGTTAAGGGAAAACAATGACAGACTCTTGAAAAACCAAGAAGACCTGAAAGGCCCACTTACTGCCCTTAAACAAGGGAAGAGCCTCTACAAGCGCAGCTCTGAGGAGGGGGACTTGAACCCTCATGCCAAGAAGAAAAAAATAGATCTCATCTTCAAGGATGTCCTGGAGGCTTCTCTGGAGTCTGCCAAAATGGAGGAGCATTCTCCGATGACAAGCAGCCCGAAACTGGGGAAAAAAGTTCCCAAATATCAATTAGACGACCTTGAGGATAGATGCAAAGCCAATCAAAAGTGTTCTCCTGCCCATAACCAAACCAGAACATTGATGGAGTGGAAGGTGCCTCATTGTTCCAACAAAGTCTTAGACAGGGAGACCGGCCTTCAGGAGGATGAAGTAGAAGATCACTCCTCCATAAAAATAGAAAGTCCTGACGAATTCTCCACCCTTGGAGACACTGAGGAGATTCCCACCACCTCTTTCTGCCCCAACTGTATTAGGTTAAAGAAGAAGATCAGAGAGCTTCAGGCTGAGGTGGAGATGCTAAGGTCTGGAAAGGTTCCTGACGTTCCGCAGTTTTTGCCTCAGAAAAACGAGGTGCCAGAATTTTCAGATACCTCAGGTAAGACCAGTCATGGAAAGCGGCACTTATGTACATGATTCTTTTGTTACCACTTAGCAGTGCTCAATGTAGTTAGCTTCACACAGTTAATGGTAGTTAAAGTCACCTCATACACTCTTGTATGAAAATGATAGACCCTTTGGAAAGTAGCTTTTAATGCTTGGTTGAGATGGTTTTAATTTTTAGGTTTGTTAGGTTGGTTTTATTAGAGTCCCTAGTTTTCTTGTTAGTGGTTTGTTTTTTCATATTTTTCATTTTTTTTTCTCAGACCAATATAGTACTATCTAGGGTCACATGGTGCATAAGTAATCCCAGCATCCCTCTTTCTCTTTACTGTTGTTATCTATTTTCTATTAGATGTATTTTTTGTTTTGCTTTTAATTTTGGCCAACTGATATTAACATGTTGATTTTCCTGTTTTCAGCCCCAGAGAACATGTCCATTGCTCCCACCATGGAGGATGATGAACAGGAGGTGGACTCTGCTGATGAATCGGTTTCCAATGAGATGCTGGCAGTAACTGATGAGCCTTCCAAGATGTCAGTTGCCTCTGGCAGAAGAATTCGCCGGTTCAAGCAAGAGTGGCTCAAAAAGTTCTGGTTTTTGAGGTACTCCTCAACGTTGAACGAGATGTGGTGTCACGTTTGCAGGCAATACACGGTTCAGTCCTCTAGGACTTCAGCCTTCATTATTGGTTCTAAACAGTTTAAGATTCATACTATAAAGCTCCACAGCCAAAGTAACCTCCACAAGAAATGCTTGCAGCTCTATAAGCTCAGGATGCACCCAGAAAAGACTGAGGAGATGTGTCGAAACATGACTCTTCTCTTCAACACTGCATACCACTTGGCTATGGAAGGCAGGCCTTATTATGACTTCCGACCTCTAGCGGAACTACTGAGAAAGTGTGAACTTCGTGTGGTTGACCAGTACATGAATGAAGGTGATTGTCAGATCTTGATCCATCACATTGCCAGAGCACTTAGAGAAGACTTGATAGAGCGTATCCGACAATCTCCTTTTTTAAGCATCATCTTGGATGGGCAAAGCGAAGATCTTCTTGCCGATACTGTAGCAGTCTATGTCCAATATACAAGCAATGATGGACCCCCTGCAACAGAGTTTCTCTCTCTCCAGGAGTTGGCCTTGCCTACGACTGAAAGTTATCTCCAAGGAATCGACAGAGCTTTCTCTGCCCTTGGGATCAGACTGCAGGACGAGAGACCAACCGTTGGGTTGGGCGTTGATGGCGTCAACATAACAGCTGGACTAAGAGCAAATTTGTACATGACAATCAGGAAAACCTTGCCTTGGATACTGTGTTTACCTTTTATGGTACACAGACCTCACTTAGAAATCTTGGATGCAATAAGTGGAAAAGAACTTCCATGTCTAGAAGAATTAGAAAACAATCTAAAACAGTTACTTAGCTTCTACCGGTACTCCCCCCGTTTGATGTGTGAGCTTCGACTCACAGCTGCAACCCTTTGTGAGGAGACGGAATTCTTGGGTGACATCCGGGCAGTGAAATGGATAATCGGTGAGCAAAACGTGTTGAACGCTTTGATTAAGGACTACCTAGAAGTAGTAGCCCATTTGAAAGATGTCAGTGGGCAGACGCAAAGGGCGGATGCCTCTGCAATAGCATTGGCCCTCCTTCAGTTCCTTATGGACTATCAGTCAATTAAGCTTATCTACTTCCTGTTGGATGTGATCGCCGTCTTGTCCCGCCTTGCTTATGTCTTCCAAGGAGAATATCTCTTGGTGTCCCAGGTGGACGAAAAAATAGAGGAAGCTATTCAAGAAATTAGCCGATTAACAGATTCTCCTGGAGAATATCTTCAAGAATTTGAAGAAAACTTTCGGGAAAGCTTCAATGGCATCTCCTTAAAAAACCTACGTGTGGCAGAAGCTAAATTTCAGTCAATCCGTGAGAAGATTTGCCAGAAGACCCAACTCACCCTAGCCCAAAGGTTTGATTCCCGTACTCGAATGTTCGTTAAAGCTTGCCAGGTTTTTGATTTGTCTTTTTGGCCGAGGAGTACGGAGGAGCTTATAACCTACGGAGAGGAGGACATGCTACAAATCTATGAACATCTGAGTAGCGTTCCTTCCTTTATTTCCGATGTTTGCAGGGAAGGAGCTGATGCCAGGGGCAGCTTGCTGATGGAGTGGCGAGAGCTCAAAGCAGACTACTGTACCAAAAATGGTTTCAAGGACTTGATCGGCCATATCTGCAAGTACAAACAACGGTTTATCCTCTTAAACAAGATCGTTCAGATCTTGAAAGTCCTTCCTACATCGACGACTTGCTGCGAGAAAGGACGTAACGCACTTCAAAGGCTACGCAAAAACAATCGTTCGCGATTGACGTTGGATCAGCTGAGCGATCTCTTAACCATAGGGGTGAACGGGCCGCACATCGGCAGTTTCGATGCCAAAAGAGCTTTGGACAGCTGGTTTGAGGAGAAGTCAGGCAACAGCTACTCGCTATCTGCTGATATGCTTAACAAGATGTCCTCTCTTGACCAGAAGCCAATGCTACACTCTATGGAACTTGGATCAGAGTATTACCAAGACATTTAGGATTCGACAAGTCTGAAACTGTCGGATGTTTTTTTTTTTTTTTCTATCTATACTCAAGTTTTGGTATATTATAAGAAAAATATAAAAATAAATATATATATATTATATATATTAATAGAAAAAAAATCCCACTAAATATTTACAAATGACTGAGCCTTTTTTTGGAAACCTCACAAAAGGTAACAAATTTATTATTTTATGGCAGCTGGGATTAAGGAGCATGGATTCCTTACAGCCAGAATAGGATGAACCCCCCATTCTCCAGACCTCCTCTTCCCCCCACCCCAAAGCATGTATAAGTCAACCAGGTACTTTTTTTTTTTTATTTTTCATTTTTTTTTTCTTTCTAGGCCAGAAAATAAGTTTTGGGACCTACGTGAAAACTCCAAAAACTCCCAATAACCAGTGCGGATTTTTATTTAATCTTTATGTTTTCTAATTTGTATTATCGCTCTTAAATCATTTTATGTTTCGAAAAAAAAATATATGAACAATATCCATTTTAAGCTAAGATTCACAGAATAAGTTAACTTTTTTTTTTTTGTTTTCACTGCCTCTCAATCCAGGGTACACTGAGGTGCATTAGGGCACGGCTACACATGACTATTTTCCTTTGTTCTACTGTCCAGTTGGAAATTACCCGTGACTGATTATGGAATTGTTCACTGTTGTGTAATGCTATTTTGATACATGGTGACACTTGTGTTGATACACAAGTGTTTTGATATATGTTTTGATACATGGTACCTGCACCGGAGATATTACACAAATGAGCACAATTATTAGCGGGTATTCAACACTGTGGTGCAGGTCACACAAATGCTCCTTCTTCCAGTAAGGGCTCATTTACACTTGCTTTGTCTTTAACAAACATCAAATCGCCTACCGCTTCAATATCTTTTTTTGAAGCTTTATTGAAGCTTGTCAAATGCCCTGTGTGCCTATTGATTTTTTATTTGTTTTTATTGTGGACCAGTAGTACCCCCATCCAGCAGAACCCCAGCTCATTATTACCCCTGTTGAGCAGATCCCCAGTTCATTAGTACCCCTGTTCAGCAGATCCCTAGCTTATTAGTACACCTGTTCAGCAGATCCCTAGCTCATTAATACCCCTGTTCAGCAGATCCCTAGCTCATTAATACACCTGTTCAGCAGATCCCAGATTAATCCCTGTTAGATCCCTCATTAGTACCCCTGTTCAGCAGATCCCCAGCTCATTAATACCCCTGTTCAGCCGATCCCCAGCTCATTAGTACCCCTGTTCAGCAGATCCCCAGCTCATTAATACCCTTGTTCAGCAGATCCCCAGCTCATTAGTACCCCTGTTCAGCAGATCCCCAGCTCATTAGTACCCCTGTTCAGCAGATCCCCAGCTCATTAATACCCTTGTTCAGCAGATCCACAGCTCAATAGTACTCCTGTTCAGCAGATCCCCAGCTCATTAGTACCCCTGTTCAGCAGATCCCCAGCTCATTACTACCCCTGTTCAGCAGATCCCTAGCTCATTACTACCCCTGTTCAGCAGATCCCCAGCTCATTAATACCCTTGTTCAGCAGATTCCCAGCTCATTAGTACCCCTGTTCAGCAGATCCCCAGCTTATTAGTACCCTTGTTCAGCAGATCCCCTGCTCAGTAGTATTCCCAGCTCTCCTAATGCCCCACTCAGTAGTACCCCCAGCTTTGCTGATCCCTGCTCTGTAGTAACCCCCAGCTCTGATGATCCCCCTCTCAGCAGTACCCCCAGCTCTGCTGATCCTCTGGTTTGCCGATCCTCCTCTCTTTCTGGTTCCTGCCCACCTCCAACGATATTGCTTCCACGCTGTGCACCACATGTGCTAGTTTCTCCTCCGGTATGCCAGCTCTGCTGATCCTCTGTCGCTCAGATCTCTCTCCCTCTCTCCAGTCCCCACTCATCTTCAGCTATAGCGCTCCCATGTTGTACACCATGTGTGTTAGTTGCTTCGCTCCGGTCCAGACCCCGCTCACTCACCTTCCTGTTCCCCGTTGAACACCTAATGTGATGTCTGCACCTCTGCACTTCCAGAGTATATACACATGAACCGGAAGTGACTGCTGATGACGTCTTTCTGTTTTGCTTGTTGGTTTCCCAGTGCATCCTGGGATATCTCATACCTGCAATACCTTCAGAACAAAGAAGCTATTTCTGATTAAAAGCCCCTCAAAAGCTGCAGGTGCTTTAAGCGAACTTTGTCATAGACTTCTATGGAGGCTTTGGGAATGAGTTGAAGAACCAATGGGTATCATTTTTGAAACAATGCAAGGTGTGAACAGGACTGTAAGCTTGCCATTTTATTTAGTGACGGGCATTCAGAGTGCTTTAAAAAAGCGTGTCTGAAGCCAAATTTTGAAGCAAGTGTAAACGAGCCCTAATAATAGACGATAGTGGACTATTCCAAGAGCATCCGTTGGCAATTTTTTTCCTGCATAGTAGCATGACGGAAAAATTCAAGAGCAAAGCCGTGTCCATAGGGTCCAAGGCTGGCTTGCAGCACCTTAATGGGGGAAGCCTTGTATTTTTAAATTTGAAGACCCAGGACATACACTGTAGAGGTTGCTCAATATTTTAGCTAAATCACTTTTTTTCCTGATACCTAATGGTTATAGTAATCACACATAATCTTTACTTTTCTGGGGTTTTTTTTGTTTTTATTTTATTTTTTTCTATTGACAGATTTTGTGTTGCAGAACATTTTTTGGATACACCTGTGTATTTTTTGTCTGTCTTTGTTTTGTTATCTGCAAGAGGATAAAATTGTCTTTTTCTTTTATTGCTAAGATAATGTCATTTCTGAAAAGGAATAAGCTAGTCAATGATTGGTGCTTTCTGGTTGGAGAAATGTGAGGATTCTGTTTTGTAACCCCAAAAAATATTAGCACTGTAGAGAACCAGAACAGTCAGACTGTGTTTATGACAATTTCTTGGTTGAAGATGCCATTCTGTGGAATTAAAGCTGAACTCCGGACAAATTTTTTTTTCCCACTTGCAGTGGGGCTTTGCCGGCACTGCATGGGTTAACTGCTCATTTTTGCCTAGGGGACTGGAGAGCCAAGATATACTCAAATTATCCTCCAATCCTCCTAGTGCAAGATCGGTCCCTGCAGCTTCTGCCCCCCCCTCCACGGT